ATTATTATTATTATTATTATTATTATTATTATTATTATTATTATTATTATTATTATTATTATTATTATTAAGTATCACATCCTCTTATACCAACTCTGATCACATAAAAGACCCATAAAACAACAACTGAAAAGAATGCGCGTTTCTTCTTTGTTTTAGATATTCTTTGCCCTTGATTTACGTGGCAGTTGGGCAAGGGCGGATGGACTGCCGCTGCCAAAATCGGGATGCAATTGATCAATGAGTCCTCTGACTTCTTTCCTCTTCTTCTTTCTTGTTGCCTGATCCTCTACATCGCCTGATCTGACAGGCCTAATGTTTGCCACCGGCCAAGCAATGTATCCCCCACTTTCGATCTCTCCAGGAAAGGTTTCCCATGCTTTTGGAGAGCTGTCCACGACCTCAATTATCTCAAAAGCATGCCAGCCCTGGGTGAGCTGGCGGCCATGGACAACGCTTCTCTCCACCTTTTTTCCTCTACACATCACTTTCTCCTCCTCGTCCAGGAGCTCAAAGTAATCCACCTTCGGGGAGGACACTCTTGCTGTTGAAAAAGATCATACACTTTTTACTGACTTGAGTGGGAGAGCAGTTCAAGAGAATATTTGGCTCAAAGTCATGCCGTACTGTCCGAACGCAGCAAGTAATTCACCATATGAATCAGGTTAATTGAGAAGGCGAAAAAAACGAAATATCGCGCGCGCTTTTCAATCATGAAAATGATCATTACTTATAYACTTCTTTTGTAAATGCTTTCATAGAATAAAATATAACAATTTCCAGTGACGTARCGAGTAATTTTCAAAGCGGGGTTTAGATGTTTCGCTTGTGTTTAATATAAGGGTGTTGTTGTTTGAATGTAGATAATATAACTTATCTTACCTAAATAAAATGGGTGCAGCAGACCCTGTTTTCTACCTTCCATTTCCCACTTACTTCGTATAGTTATCATTTATATTTACCTTGGCTATTTGTTGTTCCCTCAGTACCAGCTGCTTCTATAGCTGAATTAGTTTCTTTGCAGGTTTCTGAAGTAAAAATTTGCGTTCATTAATTAAAGCTGAACCCAATGCAATAGCCACGGTATAATCTCTATGGTACTAAGCTATGGCAATAACATCGGTCAACCAAATCACATACGTACACTCGACCAAACCATAGATAATAAAGGGAACTAGTCGCTGCAGAACAGTTGTTGAAAATTGTTGTTGCACGTTTTTCTCATCAAGTACAAACGTATCTCATTGCTGCGAGATAACTTGCGATACGCATAGCATTAGGACAGGCAGTTACCAAAACACCCTTTCTATTTGCGCAACAGACTATTTTCACTTTCCGGCAACTTTTATCTTGTAGCATTGTAGCATAGACACGAGTTTGTTGATCAAGTATTGGGGAACCGAGAATAACGCACATGCAGCTGCCTTTTAAGTTGTTATCTGTTTCTCAGCAACTATTGCGAGACAATTAAAGTGAGCTCACTTTTTGTTCTTTTGGTGGCCTTCCTCTTTTTTCCAGGTAAAGGGGTCAACTTTGACGTTTCATTTTCCATCGTCTTCTTAGCTACACATAAGAGACCACATCATATTATTGAGATCAGGATCATAAAATCATCAATATAAGACACCTATAAAGGCCTCGTCTTTAGATCGGCAATTTTTAGAAAATGAACGCAACATCCGAAAACATCGATTTTCACTATCCACTCTTTAGTAAAATATGATAAAGGAATAAATAGAAGTAGAATGGAAGGAGAACTGTCATCAAGGTTTGCTTTGGACGCTAATAATACTGTATGTAATATGCAACTCTCTTCATGGGCTATGATTTCTATTTTCTTTTGCCTTATGAATATTAATGAGTTTTATAATACTAAGATACGGTGGACCTTCAGCTAAAAGAATACATTGATAAAAATCCAGATACCTACCAACACTATTTATGAGACCCGATACTGTGTAGTTAATAAAGGTCTCGTCGACAGCAAGGGCACCAACTCCTTCCGCGAAATAACGCTGCGGAACCCCATCCGAGAGCCCAACCCACAACGATGGGCATCCAAAGTCATTTAACTGATCGATCTGGCACAAAGAATAGACAATTAAGAACAAATCTGTAACACCATCGTTATTATCAACAACTTACAGAATCGCGTATCAAACTCATAAGCTTTTTGACTCGCTTTTTACGTGTTTCCGTTTTTGCTGGAGCCGAGTTTTCATTGGCCTCCTGTGCCTGATCCTCATAAGCCTGCAGTTCCGCAACTCCGAGGGTCTTCCATACTTCATTGGCTTTTTGTTGAAGCCCTGAATTGCCGTCCGTCTTCTTTATTGTACGGGCAACTGATTAAAAATATATAAACCTTACATAAAATGGTGGGAACTAGAGATAACCTTGTATATATGCATTATTTCGTTGCATTTCAMGTTGGCTGCAGCCCTCAAACAAGAGTGAACGACGCATGACTATTTCACTCACTATTTCACATTTTGGTAGTTGCCCGATTCTGCCTGGCTTTGGTGCAAAACCACAGCTTCCTCGAGCAACTTGAATGTGTTCTACACGCAGAAAGGGCTATTCATTTTAACGTTTTAAACTTATCCCTCAATGCACAGTACTGCAGAAGATTACTTATTTTGGCATACATTGCCTATTCATCCGTTGATCACGATTTGTTTTGGAAACTCCTTGCAAAAAAAAAAAAAAAAGTAAAATGAACGAACGAAGAAAATCGCAATTAAGGGAACAGTTGTCTGTGGAGGACGACCATCTAAAACAGCCAACAAGCAACACAGAAAAAAATGCCCAAATTTTGTAAATGGGTTTATTCATACGGTCAAATATAGTTTCTCTTACGTGTGCTTTTAAAGAAGTTGGACTTGAATAACTGGTAAGCGCTGGTTTTTCTTGATTTACAAGGAACTCCAACTTGAGATTTTTTGGCGGATGCCCTTCTCCTTACTTCTCCTTGTCGTTTTCTTTCGTTTCCAATCCATTGCTTTTATGTAAANTTGTCCTTACTTTGACAGACATTTGGTCCCGGATTTGGTCTAACGCAAATACCATTCACTGATCCTTTGTTTGCAATCCTTCGTTATTTCACCTGTACAGTTTTGTTGACAATCGGCACTTGAGTCTATTGTTCTTTTATAGTAGTTAGAGCTTTGAATATCAGTAGCTTTTAAGATAGAAGGCCTGTGTAGTTTATGACTGGCTTTGGTCGGCTTTGGATAGATTAAAATGGCTTGCGTATCATAACTTAAGTCACAATAAGCTTGATTTATTCGCGGTATTTTTCAAAAAGCCCATTCCGAAAACGGTCGACATCCTTTAGTGTGGCTATACCGCGTGTGGATTTGTGAGTGATTTGAGCGTATTTTTTGAGAAGAAGAAATACCATAAGCCCATCGACGAAGAAGCTGATGCAATTAGCACGAGACAAGACAGGCTAGGAACGCCTGGCTAGTCTGGCCGCGATTTGGCGATGAATGCAAAAAAAAATAACGCCGAAATTAATAAATCGGCGTTCCACAGGAGCGTGAAGTCGGACTAGCTATTTTTGAATGTATATTATGGCGTAGAATGTCTGGAATATTATATTTTTTTACTTCTAATATAGCCTGTGTACATCCGTTTCTCACCCCTCCAAAAAAATCGGGGAGAGAACKTCTGTGATTTGCCGTTGCTAATCGTGTTCTGAGGTCCTCAAGATTTGGAGGACGAATTTCATTGGCCGTTGACTTTTGAGACTTGTGATTGGCCAATATCAATAGACGGCGTGTAAAGTTGGTCGCACGAGTGAAATATAAGCCTTCATGTAAACCACTGGAACATGTAGAATGCCTCAAATTGAATATGTTATTTGCTCTCAAATTCTCTGTAAATGTTTAGGCTTTAATCTTATATTCGTTCAGGGTAAATTTAAAATTGATGTGGAATAATAATGTCATTACAATTCGCCGCCAATCTTTACGAACAAAACTTGCATTTGTCAGAAGTGCTAAAGAAGAGAAGGGGGCTTAGTAGTTTGTATTCTACATCTCATAATAGCCTGCGAAAGCGCCAGAGTTACAGCTTCAAAACTGCCGAGGACAACGTAATCTTCACAAGAAGATATTAGTACGGTTGATGGAAGTCATTGTATGACGCAAATTACAGGAAAACCACATTCTGACGAGACACCTACTACCGAAGATAGAGAGAGCACGGCATAGACCAATGGGCAGAGACAATAATGTAAACTACGGTCGAAGTTAGAATTGAATGGCTGAAACAAAAACAAAATCTCTTGGCATTATGTTCGAATTATGTTGCAGAACGGTCCATTGTTTACTTGACCGTGCATGTTACATTATATATGCAAATTTATGTCAGAACACGATTAGCAACGGCAAATCACAGACGTTCTCTCCCCGATTTTTTTGGAGGGGTGAGAAACGGATRTACACAGGCTACTTCTAATACATAGTGAAAGCAAGAATGCGTTACCGTTTATTCACACGATACGATAGTCTTTTTGACTGCTCTCTGCAAAGACTTCAAAACGATAGAAATCTTAATTTTGACCTAAAAGGTCATGTAATTAATTAACAATTAGACCTCGAGGTCGAGTGGACTACGAGCTAATAGCCCATGAGGCCGAGTCCGCGAGGGGAGTCCGCGAGGCCGAGAGGTCTAATTATTTTAGTATAAATATAGAAATCGGTCAAATAATGAAAACAAATTGAAATATCCTTAAAATAATTTATTAATGAGATTCCGCCATTTTGATTTTCCGCGAGTGGTCTTTCACAAATTAGACCATTAGTAGAATATCCAATCACAGCGCAGTATGAGTGATAGACCATTAGTATGTTTATACTAATACCTGGTAGACTAGATGTCGCTAAGTGATATCACATCTAATACGTTTTTAATTCAAATTGTTGACCTCTCAGGCCAAGAAAATAAACTTTAAAAAAGATGCCTTTAAAATAACCTTTTTGTTATTGATAGATAGATAGATTGGCTAAAAGGTAAAATTTAAGTCGAAATTGCGCATGCTTAATAGGGACTAAACTCAGCAGTTACCTTATTTGTCATTTTTCGTCATTTATCTCACTGTAATTCATGTTAATTTGTGTTGGAGTTTTATAAGTCGTTTACANATATAAGGTATCGGTACAATAGAAATGACCAGCAAGGAGCGAAATAACAAAACTCTCATCACGCAAGTTCATTCAAGTGTTTAACTGCTCTGAGCACCGCCCCCCTCATGCTCCTATACAGCTTGAAATGGCCCAAATTGTTCAGATGGACACCGTCTGCGCAAAATATACGCTTGCGCGTGTTCCAAAATCCCCTGTGGGACCAATAAATGGCGTATGGTAGTGGTTCAAGGACAACTTTTAAGTAGCGGCACAACAAACCCACTTTAAGCCGAAAGGCAGGACCGCATGTTTCTCTTTTAATGGTCTGGCATACACAGACGCTTTTTACGCCGAAATYGTCGTGTAATAGGCGCACAAGGTCCTCTAATTCGGACCCCACCGTTGTAGCTTGTAGGGTGGTGAGATCATTAGTCCCAAGTTGAAGTATCACAATATYAGGCTTGAAACTTTCGACCACGTGTAAATCGAAAGACACGATTTTTCGAACGGTACGCCCGCCTATGCCGTGCCAGCAAACATTGATGGACGGTACGCCAAAATCCAAACTCAGGTCGTGGGAGTAACGCTCAACAAACTCTTTTAAGCGCCTCACAAACGAGTGCCCGAAAACCAAAACCCGGGGTGCGGCCATAACTATTAAAGAGAAACATCGGTCTAAGCTATTTAACCCATATCTACTCATGGGAAATAAGCAAATAAAATACTTGCCTTGTAATCCAGAGTCGTCAAAGATCTCTTTGGTTGAAAATAAATTTGAATCAAATGCTCGTAGCAAGCTAAAAGTAGCGATTGTGACATACGCTGTGTTGCTTCGATGATATATAATCACAGATTACGAATGGTCAGGTGACCACGTGCCGTATAATTCCGGCGGAAGACATGTGACTGATTACCCTATACCATGAAAGATGTGAGCCATCTGCACCCTGTAGTTCAGTTGTTTATAGACTTTATGCTTAATTTATTACATATACATCAATTAATCGACCGCGTTCGGTAAAAATGCCATTATACTTTTCGTATAATGTTTGATTATTAATGAGATTCCGCCATTTTGATTTTCCGCGAGTGATCTATCACAAATTAGACCATTAGTAGAGTAGCCAATCACAGCGCAGTATGAGTGATAGACCATTAGTATGTTTATACTAATACCTGGTAGACATAGATGTCGCTAAGTGATATCACATGTAATACGTTTTTCATTCAAATTGTTGACCTCTCAGGCCAAGAAAATAAAACTTTAAAAAAGATGCCTTTAAAATAATCAAAGTCGCCTTTTTGTTATTGATAGATAGATAGATTGGCTAAAAGGTAAATGAGCCTCTTGCTATAGGGGTCAAAAAGCATTTTTAGTCGGACTAGCCGCAGGCTAGTTTTACCTTTTAGCCAATCAGGGTTCGTTGCATTCCTTGAAAAGCGCTCGAAATGAAAGGTTTGTATAAAGGGCATTTGAAAAGACCTTGAAAAATAGAAAAATACTGCTGGAATACTCCTTTTAAGTTCTCTTTATCGTATTACATTTGTGCAAAAAAATCATTTATTGTGATCCGTTGTTTGGTGTAATATCGTATGCTAATACTGAATCAATTTTAACCATTTTCTATGGAGTCAGCAATCGTAGTTCAGATTATGCTCCCATTTTACTTTATTACTCATAAGGCCCGGGGGCGTACTCCCCCTCAACTTGAGACCTCAAAACCCTGACCCTGATCCAGAGTGAAATCGCAGAAAACCATACCCTGTTCCAGAGTAAAATCGCTGAAAACGATAGCCTGTTCCATAGTAAAATCCAGCAGTAGCTTGCGTGTAGACCGAATTTTTACCCCGTGAATTTTTACCCAGCATCAATAATTTTGGAATTAAACCCTGACACTGTTCCAGAGAAAATTCGTTGAAATCGATACCCTGTTCCAGAGTAAAATCGCTAAAAACGATACCCAGTTCCAGAGTAAAATCGGTGAAAACGATACCCTGGTTGACGGCACGTCCCCGTATAGCGAATACCCCCCGGCACCCCTCCGGGTCATAAGTTTTCCTTTTCCCAGCATGTTGTTGCTGTTCTGCCAGATCTTCTTGTACAAAACAGTGTACCCATTCTCTCTTAAATTTCCTGCGCGGCCCGAAGGGCCGGAAAAAAATTCCTGCAAGGCAAAATATTGAAAAATCTCCACTAAAGCTTTTAAAGATAAACACAAGAAGCCTTATCCTTATTTATTTATCTCCAGTCCAAAATTTGTGACCCTCCCCTAAAGTTCCTTTGAAAAAATATAACCCTCCCCAAACACACATCCAAACAATGTGGCCGTCCCCACAAATTTAGTGCCCCCCTCCCCAATAAATAATGATAAGTCCCTTAAAAGCTGTAAATCGATCAGCACGGTAAATCTTGAGATTTTTCATTCATCCTGCCAATCAGTGATCAATGACACTATACCCAGTCCTCCACGTCTTAATATCAAACAATACAAGCCCCAACTAAAATGMCATCTTGTAAACCCYGATGGACAATGCCTTCAATATAACAAGTAACCGAGTTGTAGGTACTTGATTAATTCAAGTTAACTCAATTATCGTGAAGGAGGCTCTTTTAGTTGTTTATCCTAGTGTAAGAATAGGCATCATCTGCACATTTTTAACGCTTAATTCACTAAAGATCTAGAACGGTGAACTAAAAAAAATGTCGCCAATGAATACACTAGCCTTCAGTTGTTGACAAAAACATAATTAAGTGAAGAGTTTGCAGAAGTAAAGAAAACGAGACTTTGGATATTCTAATATATTATTGTATTGTAAACTTTAATTACGCTGACTGACAGATTTTGCGGTTTACGGTCGATGGTGGCACCTGCTGGACAAACTAAACTATTCTACTTTGAGCACGTAGTCATCGTTCATCTCGCCAATGATTCAATACACTTGTCATTTGCTTGTCTTATTCTTTAGTATTGTTCTAAAGTTCTTCGCAGTGATATTCCATAGTAACCCATTCATCATACATTTTGACACTTTCGATGCGCCCAGGGGGTTTGTGGATTCACCTCCCAAGGACTAATAGACTCTAGTCAGTCGGAGGTCCTTTTGATATCGTGGAATAAAAGTTTGCCTCGTAAAATAAGTATGTAAGTTTAGACRGAAAAGAGCTAAACCCACTTASAATGAACTCAATAGAACATGAAMAWTATGCTTTCAATACTTTTAGGGAATTATTTTTTTGCCTTACTGGCTCATATTGATGTTTGCGATGTTGCTAGCAATRATGGTGCMCAAAGWTATTGTTTTGTAGTTTTGTAACAGTTTCTCTTAAAATCAACACCGAGTGCTGTGATTGTTTATGTCCCTGCGGTTTTATTTGAATACTTCTTACCATAGAAGTTCTCTACGCCTTTTTTAATAGAGAGAGAAATTGCAAATAAATTATCAATTTGATAACTAGTTTTGATAAATTCGTTGCCATTATCGTATGCAATTAAGATGTCGGAACTATCAAAAAGACTAATAAAGAATAATATTCTGTGTTGATTTTAGGCATAGCTCAATAGGAAATATCTTTGAAAAGTATTTAAAGATTATTTGGTAATTTAGGTGATAGCTACAAAGTCATTATTAATCCAGCAACTTGTTTTAGAAATCCGTTTTCGTGCTACTGAAAAAATCACTGGCTGATAGCAAGTAGACTTTAGGAGTGTGTAATACCGCTCTATAAATAAAACATAACTGCTAAACTTGTGGTTGATTTCTAAGTGGAATTAACTTGGCACAAAGCCATTCTCTTATTATAATGATCTAATCCAACCGGTTGTACAGCATACATTGATATTGTCAATTCACTATTCAAAGCAAATTACGGTTTCAAATTAAAAAGAAACAAAGTTTCAAATTCCCAATGAAAGATTTTTCATTACAAAACAGTTTTTTTTTTGATGCTATAAACGTCTGCTGCAGAGGCTACATCCACCGAAAAATGTTGCAAACTGGAGTACTTGTTTGATATCAAGGGAGTCACGCTCGAAATCCCGTGTTCTTGTAATATTGCTTATGTGATCACATTTTGCTATTTGCAGTAACGAATTTGTTACCATTGTCAGATTCCACAAGAATCATAATTGCTTGTGTGATGAATTTTTACAGCTCAGAAATACACTTCAACTCGGGCCCGCAATTAATAAGCATTAAAAAGTGGCTTTCAAATACACCTGTTTCAGCCAGAACCACGGGTTGCTATTGGTCGTTTAAGGCGCCGTCTAAAGTCTATTTATAATTGAAAGTTGTGGAAGGCCTGGCAAAAGGAACATACTAGCGTTTGACGGACCAAGTGTACTGAGCTATCAAACAGTGTTACCATGGGCAAGTRGTGATTAGTGTTGTATATCCACTAAAGACAGTTCTCTTCAAGAATCAATTTTGTTGTGACCATCATCAAACCATGAATTTATCAAGCGTTGTCTTTGAAATCTCGGTAAGATTGGTAAATGAGCTGAAAAGTATTTCATGATTTATGCAATTCTGCGATTAAACTACTAAACTACTTTTTCAGTTCCTTCTGATGCTGTACAAGTCGAATGGTGAGTAGATCCGACTTGTTTCTAAAATTCATTAAAAAGTTAGTAAGTTTTTTGTCGTGACCTTCCAAGTAGAATTCCATGTGCAAAAAAGAGTTTGTAGAAATAGGACTGCTGTCCTTTTTCCCGTGGTTCACCTTGAATAGCCAGGGAGGGGGTATCTGGTATTTGTTTCAAAAAGAAAGGAATTGTCAGACCTTACTCTTCCGGTRTCCATCTTTATTCGCATTCTCAAAAACTTATGTCGCAATTAGCCTCTTACCTCAATATCAAGGCAACACAACCTGTTATCACATAACAATATTTGAAATATGTCAGAGCTTCTTTACACCACAAATTCACTCACTACAATTAATGTAATTGCGTTTGCACAAAGCTAATTTCACTGTCAGATTACTTATTAGGTAGTCTCGAGTAGACGTTTAGTAAAGTCATGTGAAATGAAACCTTTATTTGCAATGTTCGGTGCGTATAGTTTTGCAACATCGGAAGGATACGAGCGGCTTGTGCAGTTGGGAATGTTATCTTGATCCCGCTCTAGTTAATACCCTTCAATTACACATGCTTTAAGAATCTATCAACTTCAGCAGTTAATACTTAGTTCCTAAAGAAATTCGATGGCAAATTGGTGGTTGAGAATTTAATTGAGAGAAAATTAACAGTACTTTTGCCTCTCCAACTAAATTTATGCATTGTTTAATAATTCAGAAAACCTTGACATTGTGATAGAATTGACAGAAAATTTTTACGATTATTTGATATCTATGGATACTGTAATGCATCTTTTCACATTCCTTGGCTAGCAACTTACTAAGATACAAGCTCCTCGCATTTCATGTGAAAAAGATTGGGTAGCTAAACGTGTTTTCCTTGAATGATCTAAATGTTTAACTAAGAAAAGTTGGCTGGCTGTGGCAGCAATACTGCCAAGTGAAGAATATTGACACTTTATGTTTGAATATCAGGTATGTTTTAGAGAAAGCCCGTTGTGTGTCATGTAGAAATCAGATCGGTCRTGAACGATTTATTCTGAATGACTTTGTTCACATGATTTGGTGACAGCGTTTTGCATACATCGCACGTTCTACCGGTCAACATTTTAGCTCATCGTAGGGAATATGAATTTTTCATTTAGTTTTAGCTATTAGTATCAAGCTATAGATGTAGTGATAAGTTGTATCATTGAAACAAGGCATTTTAGTGGGGTTTTTTTACGTATAATCACAAGAAACAAAGCAGTCAATATTGGCACTCCATTAATTAAGACTACAATCGGTCCTTCAACAGATTATAGACTTAATGGACATAATTTTAATGCCACTAAAGAGCTAAGCATTGTCCATGACAAAACCGTGAGAAATAAACTGATTTCAACGGTCTTGGCACGCTACACGTGGAGAGCAGATTTCACCTACGGCTGATATATTGTCTATTCGTATACATTAATCATATATCGTGAAAAGCGCAAAATTTGTATGTGGGAGTCTAGTTAAGTGGGCCAGCAAATAGCCATTGTTTATTTTTTTTTTTGTCGTCTGTACATTCAAAGTTCAAAAGTATCTGCTTCGATTGATAGTTTTGAATTGGTTTTGTAAAGTGTGTCGGCTTCTCCCTGCGAAGGAACACTAAATGTGGTAAAACCTACAGTTGATCAATATAGTTGAGAACACTCGTTCGCACACTTTTCATAATGGACCGTGTGTCTTGCCATAGCTTGAAAGCCTCGACGTATATTCGTCCAGAATAATTTACAATTAATAGAAATCTATACATCAGCTATGTGGAAATTGCCAGGCGCATGAGATAGTAGGGATGTAGCAGTCTCTTCACTATCGGCTCGCTGCGCAGTGATAAACGCCACTAGAGATTCGTTTGATTGTCGAGTGACGAATAGTTAGGTCAGCGATCGAGTACAAGCATGACATCGCTTACAACCTTCAATACATTGACTATTCAAGTATATTGGCTTAACATTCTAGTAACCATAATCGGCCGTAATAACGTAATGAATATTCAGTGTCAGGATATTTAAGTGTAGTTTTGTCCTTTGTTATCCAACTCTTTTATTTATTTTAAAAAAATAACAATAATTATAATAACTATGGAAATAGCTTTATCAACATTAACACTTCAACTATAATGCAAGACCTCACGAAAAAAAAACTTATAATATTATTATGTCAGCAATGTAACACATTTATTTGAATAAATAAACAGACAAGGGGACGGTGCAAAAATGAATGTAATTAGGCTAAAATTAAAATTGAAATAAAAAGTTTTTCCATATTCGGTAGTCAACTGTTGATATGTACTGAATGTTTGTCATTTGTCATTGATGCTGTGACAGTCAAATAAGTGTCAATGGTACTTAATAAGAATCATTTAAAATGGAACTTTAAAAGCGTATTTTCCATGTATTTCTGAGGACACGCGATAGTATGAACATACGTGTATATATGTACATAATACCAAATCAATAATGTATACTGATTTTAAGAGACTACTTTCTAGGCCAAGGTCAGCTAATGACGCAGTTCAGACACAGAATATGATGACAAAAAATTAAAGGTTCTAGATAACTTAGCACATGTTAAAACAAAATTTTCATAAACCCAAACAACAAAGCGCAATAAAGTGTGATGTATACTGAAAAGACAAGTATACATTGAAAAGTAATATGCTACAGTAGGTTAAGTTGTTCAGTTTTCACGGGTAATGGGATGAAAATCTCATCGTACATCCCTTGTTCAAAACTAAAAAACACACCAATGATTTCAATACGGAGTCACAGGCAGCGTAGCCAATACTGAATAAAAAATGAAGGGTTACTTAGTTCACCAGAAGAGCTTCGCTTGATTACTGCATATTTTCAGCATATCTAAACCAACACTATATCTCCTAAGACTATTACTGTGGTTGCTTTGTAATATCATGTACTATTGAAAATAATTTTGCCAAACCCACTCAGCAATATAAGTCCATTGATATTATCCATGTGATATTATCCATGTGTTCTGATTATCCATGTGTTCTCATTATCATTGGAAATGTTAAATCATCCTAATGAAAGTTTGACAGACCATCATCCTAATGAAAGAAAGACAGACCAATTATGACTAGCAGCCTACATGTGGCTAGTATGATGCACCAGCTGTAACACAAAATCGAGACCTTCCAAAATACCTTTTTAAAAATATCCGAACACATTAGTCTTCTCACACCAACACTATAGAGGAACAATAAATACACAACGCAAATCTTTATTTGGATATTTTTTGAGTTTATTTATAATTACTTTATTTTTATTTCACTCATTTGTACAAAAGTGTATATGGCATGCACCATGGTAATTTTATGTGATTTTTTTTTTTTTGAATTTGCAAATCAATCAAAATCATTGCAGGTATGTTTATGTGAGTTTATCCAAACATATAACTGCAGTAATAGCAAGTTAATAAATTGAGCACGGTTTTGAAATGTCCTCTTATTGACACACTCTTGACGTCATAAATTTTTCACAACTCAAGTGGACCCACGAGCGCATTGAGGTTTCACCTTGCCGATTCCTTTTATAATTACGAATGTTTTACTAAGCTTTCCAGTACCAAGTTTGACAGCATAATGAGATTACAAGGTACATTGTTTGTTTCAATAATTGTCTACACTCGAAATACAGTCATTTTCATTAAGGGTTTTGATGTTAATTGAAATGCTTGCCCGTAAGAGAACAATGAAACGAAAATTGTTATCACTCTTAAGAGTCCTTTAGTGGAGTCAAAGTTGCCTCTTTCTGCGATACCATAGAGCTCTTGTCGCTAACTTTATTTCCAGGAGAGATTAATAAGATTTTGCCATTCGACCTGGTAACCACAACAGTGTTAGTCGGGATGAGAAACTGAGTCCTTACCACACCAGCTTGAACTCTGTTTCTTACTCTTAGTCGAATAGCGTGGGTTCTTTTCCGTCCCTCTATGCTGATTTGAAGTTTAGAGAGACGGGAACTCTGTCCTTTTACGAGAAGACGAGAGACGCTAAGATAGTGCCTTGCCTATAAGGATGTGCTCACATTTTCTGGGAATCAAAATCAGGGGATTCAAAGCGTCCCATGCATTTTACTATCACGCCCCTCACAGTGTTGCACGCCATTGTCATTTATTGTGTTTTTTTTAGGCCGTACTTACAATTTATACCTCAAGAATGCAATCTGTTTCTTTTTTAATAGCACAATGTCCTGTCAGATTTCGACCTCCAGAGGGAAAGTGTCTAATAGGATGTCTTTTTGATTCGGATTGCGAACCAAGAGAAATTTGCTGTACGTCAGGGTGTTACAATTCCTGTGGTAAGTAATTCTAGCTAAATTTGTTGTTCTGTTTTTTTTTCTTCTGATGCTTAAT